CCATATTTTTATATAGAGAAAAGGTCAATATGTTGGATAAGATAGTTTGGTGCAGGAACAACGTAAAAGAATAGGAATTTGGAACGTGTGAGGTCAGACCAACAGTTACGAGAATAATCAATTAATAATCTTGGGGTCTGTGACTACATTTCTTCATCAAATAGTTGAATTGCCGAGTTGAAAAAATCTTTGCACTCGCAACTAGGAAGTTAACGAAATTAAAAGTTTGGCTGCTCACAATTACGTACGAAAGATTCCCCTTTGTAATCAAGTAATTGCACTGCCCCGAGATCATTATGCTGGAACCGTTTTGTCAGCGCGGGTCGTTAGGGATCGTTAGGCATGCATCGATTTCTCCTTCTTGCAAAGGTTGATAGTGGAATTCAAAGATCAGGGTCTGGTGAACTTACTGCGTCATAGCATTCCCCGCTGTTTATCAAGAAAGTGTTAATCTGCGAAACGCATTTTGATAAAGCAACCGAATAAGAATAATTATTCGTGTTATGTTATCAAGCGAAAAATGTCCTTCGTCAAATAAAAAAACAGATTCCCAGTTAGGTTCCACTCACAGAGCCCCAATAAATGCTGGAATCTTCGTTGTCATCATTATTGTCATCGTCGTCATCATAATCATCAATCATCATCATCATCATTGTCATCATCATCATCATAATCATAATCATCAATCATCCTCATCATCATTGTCATCATCATCATCATAATCATCATCATCAAGCATCGTCATCATCATTATCATCATCATCATCATCATCATCATCAATCATCATCATCATCGTCATCATCATCATCATCATCAGTTTTGTCCACTTCGCCAATTCATAATATCGAAGTAACATTCCTCCACATTCTTCGTACATTGCAAAAGCCGTGCTATTTTTTCTATATTGTGATCGTGGAGTACCATCAAAAGAAATTATTTTGAATGTTCCATTTTCTAGACATTTAACAAGCAATTTTCGAAGAAAGCTGTAATTGAAATGGACTTTTTTGGGGTCCGCTTTTCTTGAGAGACAAACAGCATGAAAAATTGCAGCAACTCCAGTGTTGCAATCTCTCTTTACAGTATCCACATCTGCAACTATAATACCCATTTTATCAAGAGGTAAATTTCGCAGTCGACATGCCAGGTCCTCAATTATCACTGGATATCTAACTTGCCTCCTTTCTGTGTCAAAGTTTGTCCTAGTCGCGCTATCATATAAAACAATATCATGTTCCCCGGATAACACATTAGAGATTGTACCCCAATGAATATTTTTTTGTCTCAATCTAAGTTCCAAGATTTGAATAAATTTCCTTCTATCCCCTTGACAATTTGGTAATAAATGCATGTCATGCATACCCGCGAACTCCTTGCATTCTGACTTGAGTATACTAAGTGCCGCATTTATGGTTGCAACTGTTAAAGGTTTTCTATCCTCGATTGCTTTTTTATCTTTTTTATCTAATGATAAATATGGAAGCCATGACTCGTCCAAACTATTTGCCACACTTTTTGCTCTATTGGGAATTGCTTGTCCGATAAGGGGGAAGCTAATAGATGATTGCCCGGAGGACTCACTTGGGTTTACTATTTTATTGGTTTCTGCTTCAAAGGACTCGCGTTGCTCTGAAAAGAAACCATCTTGTTCCCCTACAAAACAGCTAGCAAAATTTTTAGGGGCGCAGACACCAGGGGAAAGCCTGTCCAGGCTTAGTTCGCTATTTGCCAAATTAATTTCATCCTTCTTGGGGTTGCAATATGATTGGCGTATGTAAGGTTCGGGGCTTTCACATACACTTGCTGTCTTGAGAAAATTCCAAGAATCTTCATGATTATCAGTATCAGAATAGAGATCATAATTATGCCCGAAAATTGCACGACCGTATTTATCGAAGTTTACTACCATTTTTCTCTTTTCTTCTATTTTTTTAAGAAACTCTGCATTACGAGCCTCATTCCTTAAATCAATGATTGACCTAAACAAAAATATATGGTTTGTCGGTGACATCTGATTCATAAAATGAATGTTCTTTCCGAATAAACCATGTATTTATTCCACAACTTCACTATTAATCTGCCCAGCTAGTTCAGCAACACAAGTTATGCGCCTAAGTGCTTCAGTTTCACAAGACATGTTCTTTTCATGAAAGCGATCGAATAGGGCGAGTCGTACGATGCTGCCACTAATTGGGTGACAATACCCGTTATGACTATATAAGTCGTTTTTACTAGATGTATTGTTCAAAAGCCAAGGGAACGAAATTTGAAGATTTCCTTCCAAGGCATTTTCGATATTCTGAGGTGTAGCTTCAGCAACCCTACCCTCGTACGGAGAAAAGAAACCCTCTTCATACCTGTTACCATGGGAAGCAACCATATGGGCCATGTCTACTATGAAAACATTAGGTTTATGCTTGAGACTACGAATCATATCAATATAATCTCGCGGACTTTCCGATCTTAGCAAAAATTTAACTGCATATATTACTCCATGGGTACACGCCAATGTAAGCCAACCCCCAGACCGTCCAAACATTTTTTTGAAAATTTTATTAAATTTTTCATCATTCCTTCCTATAGCTTCTTTCATTCGGTTTATCAGATCAATTTTAGAACCCTTGGCACTCACACCCACTTTACGCGCAAGACGTCGAACGTCCGGTATTTTCGCCTCAAACATTTGCTCAAGTAAGCGTTCTTGAGACAATTCTCGACAGTCAATTTCAGGCTCACCGGTTTTTCTGTGGACTTTCCGATGTTCGCTATTTACTACGTAATAACCAACTCGTGTCTTTTGGCCTATGTATGGAGCCCAAAATGCAAGAGATGGTGTTACTTTTACACTTGGTAAGCTCCGGTTTGGGAAACCTGTGCAGATAGAATTAGTAACAATTTTTGACCAAAACTCGTCACAATTTACAAAATCTGAGCTCTCATCGTTTTCATCCGGAAGGGCTTCGTCGGGAACCCTACAGTTAAATGCAACTTTTCTATTCAGGTCAGCAATCAATATGGTTGGAAAATGTCCGCATTTCACACAATTAAATTCGTACGTTCTCTCACTGAGGGCTTCAAAATGGGCATATGCAGTAAATACTTTTTGGAAATCAATCTTTATTTTCCATAGCCCTTGCAAAATGTTGCAAATTGTGCCAATAGCAACATGGTTTACTGTCGACTCCCTTAAAAAGGCACAAACATCGAGGCCTAAGAAAAATATATCATCAAAGTTGTGGACACCATCTTTTTACTCCTGATAACGGTAGAACAGATTGCAGTTTCTGCACAACTTAAAAAATGTTTCAACACCTTCAATAAACCCCTCCATTGTCAAAATTTTGGCTCCATGGCTAATTCGATGTGGTCCGTCCAGATTACTGCCACAACGATAACAATCATTTTCTTTTGGCTTATACACAATCAGCAATTTCTCTTTCTTAATAGCCTTTGCATCATTTGGTAAAGGAAATGGAACTTTTTTGAATCTTTTCATATAATCAACCATTTTCAAAAAGGTATCCTCTTCCTCTGGTGGATATATCATTTTATCTAGGTTATAATTCAAAACTGCATCATTTACTAACGATTCCCCGCTATTGGACTCACACTTATCACTAGTAGTTGATAAGTCGATGCTATCACTAGATAGCTTATTAGTTTGATGTAAATACCATAATGCAATAGCTTTATGAAGACAAAACACCCTTGTTAAACAACACCTACAATCAAGACGATTTTCTAATTTTTTATAAGTCACCACAAATCGTGACTTCACGAGGAATCGAGTAAAGGTGCCATCATAGATAGATGTAGATGGTTTGTGTCATCCCATTCGACTACAAACGGTGCTTGGTTAGCTAATGCCTCTTCTTGTTTATCAATGCATGACTCAATTGTGTTGGCCTTAAGAACATTTTTTCCTTGTTGGTTCCCTAAATTACGCAAGAATTCTACATCAAGTTGCAAAGACTCTGGAAACAAAGCGTTGTTAACCAAAAGTAGATGCTGACATTCCCTTCCCTTCATGCCCGATCTTGCAGCAATAGACATTTCATCTCTACAACTATCAACTTCACAATCTACAGCTACACCATCAATAGAATTTATTGATTCACCATGTTGTGACCTTTTAACCATATACAGCCCTTTCTCTCTGTCACAGCAAACAGCTGTGAATGAAAATTCTGTATTATGAATCGTTTTCATGTGCCTTTTGATATTCTTTTTTGAAATCATTTTCTTACATACTTTACACTCGTTACGCTCTAAGGGTTTATTCCTTTTTACGCAAGCAACCTCCTGATTGTTTACACTGGACTTACATTCACCCAATGTAACAAACGATTTGACATGAGGTATGGGTGGTATTTTCTTTAGCCTTTTCTTTATGAAAATCTTAACTGTGTCGGTCCCCTTATCACTATGAACCCTCATGTGATTAGCAAACGTTCCTTTTTTTTTGTATTATTTCGCTGCAATTCGGGCAATGGTAATGACTAACATTTTGCCTTGCGAATGCTTTTGCAACATGAGTTGCTTTGCATGGAAGTATCTTTAAACTACCATGGTGAATAATTCTCTCAGCTTTTAGATGAGTCTTGCTGATATGGCATTTCATTTTAGACAGGTAGAATTCAATTTTTGAAGAGGGACAAAGATTGCAGTGGAAATGACTGCGATTTTCATTGCATGACTCAATTGTGTTGGCCTTAAGAACATTTTTTCCTTGTTGGTTCGGATATAGGATATAGGATATCGGAAATAAAGGATATAGGGTTAGGTTTAGCATGATTCGGGATTATGGAATGGTGACTAATTGACTTTTCCTTATCCATGCCATTTTGGTCAGAGAAAGTTTGCTCCTTATTGTCAAGGTTTAAATCTTCTTCTACGTATTCTCCAATACATTCGTTACAGTCATTTTTCTCATCACAACGATCAGGTTGAAAATGAGAGTCAATAGAAATTGGACTTACAGGTGCTTCTTTTCCCCAACCTAAAGCTCCAACTTTCTTGTTTGCTTCCTATTGATGGAGAAGCAATCGAATTTTCGTTTTCTTCGGACACATTGACAGCAGGAGATTCATTTTGTCTATTTTGTTGTGAGGTGACGTTGGCAGTATCTGGATACGTTTGTCTATGGGTATTTAGAGATTCTACATCTATCTCTCCATCCATGCACCATTTGGCAATTGTAAGCCTAAGAAAATCGCTGTAATGAGATATGTTTTTCAAATACCGATAACCAATATTTTCGTCTTCAGTTGTGCCTTTCAAGGAAATAAACGAGCAGAAATCGTAAGCAGCCAAGCACATACATATAATTGTTGAAACCCCACAAATGTGACCATCACGCTGTAAAGGGAAAAATCGCCAACAACTTCTGTTGCAAGCATGCATGCTAGTGACAGAACCTTGTAGTCTTTTGCGTTCACAGTGTGCTGCTGAAAATACACATTTCTTTGCAAAAGCATCCCCACGAAGACGCGCTAGCAAGTCAGTAAAGAGCCTTACAAGGTCCTTAGAGATAGGGTATCCTAGAGAGTCTCCGTACAATAGATGATTAGTGGCAAAACAGTAAACACCTACTGCAAAATGATTCCCTTCCGAATAGCACCCGTTTCTATATAGTGGGTCAATATGTGTCTCATTATTAGAGAAATTAACGTTTATACTAAAAACAAGTTTCTCGACATTTTTTGCACTACTAGCCATTACAACCTTTCTAGCTAACTGTTCCATTCCTAACGAATCATTGAAGTTAAATGCAAAGGTATCTTGTACATGGGAAATGATAAGACGACAAATTTCCACCATAATTTCTCCATCAAGCCATCTCTTACCAATAAGTCTTTTTAGACTGCTAACGCGTAGCTGGCTATTTGCGACTATATGCAGGTCCGAATGATCTTGGATGTTAAGCCCAATCTCCAGTGAGAAAAAGTCTTGCGAAATTTCGCTGCGAAATACTTCACGCGACAAATTCCTTTGAATGCTTTTGTTGACCTCACGACATTGGAATGTAAAGTTTGGAAGCGTGACAAAGGAATACGGAATATGATTGGCTGTTGAAGGATTTCGCAAGCGAAAAGCGAAAAAAGTTAAACTCATTTTAACTTTTTTTCGCAGAGAAATTCTTCGCGAGAAATCCCAGCAAAAGATTACTGCGCATGCCTAAGACGTATTTCGCGCGAACTTTTTCGCATTTCGCAGTTTTTTTTCTCACTGGAGATTGGACTTTAGATATAAGACGGACTGCTAGTGTTGGATCAATGTTCTCTGCACCAAACGGTCTATCAGTATGTGCAGATACATTGGCAAGCCAATCATCCTCTACCCTAATTTCATTACATGTTTTGATACTTTCAAATATTTCTCGGCATTGCTTAAGACTCTCGATATCGTAATACTGTGAACCTATTTTAGCACTGTATGATATACCTTCACTATTTTCTCTTAAACGAAGACCAGTCAAAGCCTTATCTATTGTTGAAATGCAGGGTATCGACTTTTTATTAAAATTGCTTATGTTACTTTCAACGTGATTTGAAGGCACAAAGGTACAATGTTGGTTCTGGAGCACACTTGGTAATGGAATCTTCTAGCAAGATCTACGTGGCCTCTTAGAATTATTTGGCTCTACTGCATTTAGATCAATAACGGGCTAAAATGAAGGATAACATATAAATGTTATATATACTATATATCGCATATAGAACATTTCATTTTTGCAAAAAAATTTGTCGAAAGCTAGAAACATTACAGAATGTCTTTAGAAACTTTTTTCCAAAAAAATATTTGTATATATCTTACCTTTGCTGGTCCACCACCTCCGAATGTCTTTCTGAGATTTACTTGCTAAGAGAACAATATTATTTGTTTTTAAACAGAGAAAAATCTATGCAATTAAGCTTATATAGAGACATTAGCACAACATCAAGGAGAAAAAATCTGTTGTATTCTTTAAAGCTATGAGTATACTTTAAATACTCATAGTATTTAATTAAATAATGTATACTTTAAAGCTATAGCAGAAACTGAACCATTTAGAAAATATACAATGCGCCCTAGATAAAGAGTCAGTGAATTTACTATATTTATCCATTTTAAGCGTGACGATTTCTCTAATCTACAAAAAAAGGCTCATTGAATATGCATACCCTATGTCACGTGCGGGACAAGTAGCTAAGGACTAGCCCAAACTAAATGCAGTGAAGTTGGGCTGAATCACAGAGAAGGAAATCATAGAAGACGACTAGCCTGATCTTGTCTTTCAAGGCTTGCTTCTTGGCTATTTCTAGCATCTACTTTATGGTTCGTAGCATTCTGTTGAATATACATTTTCAGACTCAGAAAAAGTACTAGCTAGAGAATGTAAAGCTAAATAGTTTATTTTGATGTTAATGGTGAATGATGACTTTATTTTAAGCTGTTTTAAGTGCAATAGGTATGTGCTAACATTATCGGCTTAGGTTTTTGCTATATGTTTCATTCAAAATACTTTTCATTAAAGTAATCATACTTTTGTCAAGCCAATACTTGAACCAATCTTCTTTCTCCTTTTTATGTTCTCTTGTCTTCCTTCAGATGGGGCTGTAAGTTAATAAGAAAAGGTAATTTATTAATTAAACTATAATATATTTCGTGAATATTATGCTAAAATCAAACTATATTTTTCAAAAGTTTTGTGAAGTATCGTAAAGTATAAACCATATTTTAAAGTATGGTGAAGGTTGTGTATTGTTCAACTGCATACCGTGCTGCTACGTAAAGATGATCTCAACTAGCTCTATACAAAATTGCCAAAAGTTAGAAAAATTAAGCCAGGGTTCCCCTTTTCTTTGCTACGCTACAATCTATACTTTTTCCTAGAGGATATTCAAATGTAAAACGATGAATAAAACAAATCACGGCGGATGGGTAAAATTACATCTGTCAGTAATTATTACCAATGTCCCATTTACAAAAGCGTAATGCAGCCAAATATAACAGTTAAAGTGATATATATTATTCTTATCCTGGCATCTCAAAACCAAATTCAAGAATAATCAAATAATGGCAAGCAATTAGGGGAGTATATTTATGGTAAATTGATTAATTGCGTTCGAAATTTATCCGTCAATGAAGTTACTATAATACGTTAGATGTAATACTGATTACCAACCATTCAGACTAGTAAAAGATGCATCAAATTCAGCAAGAATCTCATCAATTGGCTGATCATATGTGGAAAAAAGCATCCATTATTTAACACGTCTTCAACCAACAAAGTCAACTGATTGCAGAAGCCATAAAACGTAAAACGACAGTGACTACAACCCCCTGAGTAGTTTCGAAATTCAAATGAAATAATATGCCCTTAAGTCCTGTATGGATATAAAATTGGAAAAGTGAACGACTTTCTCTAGGTGAAGTTTGATTTTAGTTCTACAAATCATCAACATTAAGGTTTGCAATTCATGCAAAAAAAGTTGGATCCACTTTGTTTTGTTCCTTTCTGATTTTCGAACATCAAACATTGATTATTACCTTTTTCCTTCTTCAATTTCGTTTGTCATTTTGGTTTTTTTGGGGCCATTTTTTCTCTGTTGTTGTTTCTTTCTGCAAGGAGAAAAATCGGTCTTAGAAACAATCTTTGTAACGGAAGCAAAGCAAAATTTGAAATATGAAACAAAATTTTAACTGTTCTGTTTTATGTAGGTATGAAATCTTCTACATCCCTACCTTGTACGGGTTGGTACTGCACTTCCAGGGTATCAATACGTTTCCGACAACTTGTCCCCTGCTTTTGTTAATCTTTTGCAAAGCCATTGCCGCAGTTGGTGACCTCAATAGGAAAGAAAAATATCCTGTTTAGCTATTATGGTGCAAGATATTCAAGATTTAAGAAAGTGATATATTGACAACATTGTCCTATGCACCTGAAGGTGTAAGTTTGGAGCCAGAAAAGTATTTAACCTGCACTCATGTCACACGTCTGCTGCATTGTATCTACCACAAAAGCCCCTAAGTTCTCTCAGCTGAAAACAATCTGCAATGTACCATCTTGTTAGAAGTATTTAAAAAGCAAATGTTGAAATTTTCTCCACTCAAAGAAAACAAGAAAATTATTTTTTTTTACTTCAATGATTGTAACTGATCCTTATGCTTCTTTTTCACGATCTTGGGTCGAGGAAAAGTCGGAGGGCGGGTCTCTTGCTCCTTTTTTTCTTGTAGCTTACCTTGAAAACAAAAACACATTTTATAAGTTCATATGTCTTTTTTGTAACTCAATTGTTTGGACATGGCTAATGACTAAAGACACCTCGAGCAAAAAAAATATCTTACCTCTGACGTTGTGGTGCTTCAGCTCCCTCCAAAGCCATTCAGGACATTTTTGTACCATTTTCACCGCTGGCTCTACTACGTGTTGCGATGCCGTGCACAAGTATTTTTTCAAACCTTCAACAAGAGAAGGTAGAGCTATATCTTCACTCAGGTGAATACTGGCTCGACTTGACCATACTTGTCTGTTGGTAAAATCGATGCAGTTTTCAATGTAATAAAAGGGAACGTTGAACTTCTGGCACTCTTCTTCCATGGCCTGGTTGAAAAGGTGCCGTCTCACATCAACATCATCCAGGCGAGGTGCAATGAAGATTGCGACGACCTAGCAAAATAACCTAAATAGTTATATAAGTCCTTTATATATAGCTATAACAACCAAGTACATAAAAATATTTTCAGAAATATTTTTTAGTGACACCAATCGAGGTACATAAAACTTTCATGAGATTTCGTAACATAGCTTAAATGATCAAAAATACGACTTTATCTAAAATTTAAAAATGGAGAAATAAGTAAGATACAAACCTGACAACCACTGAATAATTTCTTTGCATTTTCTACCAATGCCGAAAAGTCTCTTCTTGCACGATCGAGCATGCAGTGTCGGGACATATTGTTGGTTTCTACCATAAGCACTACGAATTTGGGGTCATGCAATATTTGTTCTGACCCAGAGCGCATTTTGGTGAGGACATCAAGGAAACAGCCTCCTGGCGTCGAGTTGATGTACCAGTCTGCAGGGAACGAAACGGTATCTTCCACTAATAGCCTAAGTTGGGAGTCCGAGAAAAAAAGTACCTAAAGAGAATAAGCATAGACGTATGAGAAAATGTTAGCTTTTTTATGACAAAGGCTGAGACACTCTTAGTGGAGAAAAAAAAAAGTTAGGACAATTAGATGTATTTTGAATAGATGCAACAGAAAGATTAATGTGCAAAATGAATGGGGTGACAGTACTTACACTTTTTTTTGAAAAGCCATTCAGAGGAGCCACAGCTTTGTTTTGCTTTCCACGTTCACCTGGCTTCCATTTTCTTGCTTGGCTTCTCCTACCCGTTCCTTTCCAATCTCCCCCACGCATTCTCCATGCGTGTTGTGCACAACCATTTCTTGTTATTATTTGGGCCCCAAAGGCGACTCCAGATCTTTTGCGCGGTGCAACAATTTTACGTTTTACAACTTCAATCATTGTTAAACATGTCTCGCTCACTTTTTAAAAGTACTACAGGAAAAGTATGCCTTTGATCTAGCTGTGCATCCTATGATGCAAAGCTAGTTATCACATTACATAATTATTCTGAAAGATGAAGCAATTTTGTCCCATTATTGAATATGAGATAATTGACAAGGACAACACCACCCATAACGTTTTCGCATTCAAATTATTTTGCTAACCAACATCACCCGCACACAATATTAGCACTCAATTTCCTTTCACAGATCCCATACCTCTATTTCCTTTCACGATTTTTAAACGTCCCAAAACCTTCTCCACCCCTTGGCGACATCAACTCTTTCTCTATTTTACCCGTGAGAGTCAAGCCCTTTAAATGGCCCGGGTTTTGATTTAAAATCTAATAAAACTTGTCAACTTGATAAAACGGGAGGATCTCCTAAGAATTTTACGAATTAAAGCCATGAAATTGTGCTCAGTGAACCTACTGCGCTTCATTTCTCTATTTTACCTGTGAGAGCCGACCCGCTTCTCCATTTTATCCCGAGAGCCTATATTTAAACTATTAGTCAACACAAAGGTGACAATTATTCGGTAATTGAGTGTTGACAATAGGATAAAACAGCGGTTAATGCGATTTCTCTATTTTACCTCTGACTGGAAATATTTTTCTATTTACGCTCTTCTCTATTTTACCCAGCTCGCGACCAATATGGGTGGCATTTGTTGGTTTGAACTCTGGTAGAACTGCATCTGGACCTTCATCTTCCATAAGGGATATGAGTCGAGTGGCTGCAAGCGTTGTTAAAGACCTTGCTGGCCATGAGTGAGCAGAAATAGTTTCACAAAGACAGTCATTGTATAAATCAAATGCCATGTTTACCAAAAATTTAACTATATTGGTGTTGGCTTTTTTTAAACCGTTCAACCATGGATGATTAGCACTTTTCTCTTCCCACATCAGCTCCAATTGCTTCTGATTTCTCGTTGCTTTGTGCATTTCTGAAAATACATGATCAATTATTAGTTTGAGTCGTTCTTCATCATCTGCTCTGACCTCATTTGCAATACCAATTTTTCGATTTCGCGAGTATTTCTTTGCCACGTCCAAATATTCTTTGCCACGTCCAACTACGACCTTTGCTGAATAAGTGGATCAGGGATCAAATTTCAAATGATGTTGCCTCTATAGTAAGCATTTTAAACCCAAGCGTGTTGTCACAAACAGACTGTGAGACTTCACTAACTTAAGGAGATGAAAGTATCATCCATGAACTTAAAGAAAAGGCTCCAACATTACATTTAGTGCTTCTGAGCTCTGTTATTTCCCCACGAAGAAGAAAGAAGATTTGCGATGGCCAAGTCAAGGATACCAGTCAATGCCCTATTGTAATGGCATACAGTGTTATGATGAGAGCAAGAAGTCCAACACTGAGCGCATTAGCCTATAGGTTATCAATAGTATTGCATCACAGTGGAGCCAAAAAACAAGTATGCATTCCCTTTTTATTATTTATCAGGTGCGTTTGTCAATTTGTAGAGAGTGCTCATTCAAATAATTGCAAATAATCATACAAATATTTGATAAATGAAGGTAGAAGATAGTTATCATTTGATTGGTTTTTTTCTAACCAAAATTTTAAGATAACCATTCATTATCACTGTCAGAGAGGGAAAGTTTTTCATAATCATCATAAAATTCATTTCCACCTATTAAGTCATCATAATCTTCATCTTTGCCTTCATCATTATAAGCATACCAGGATGATTGGGTTACTTTATTCTTAGCAAGACAACGCCCTGCAAGGTCTGACTGTGCTTTTTCTATTTCATCTTTATTGATGTCACCAAAAATGTCTTGAACCATCAGCAGAATTTCACAAGCTTGTTTATGTTGATAAACTGGGGTGCTGTTGAGAATAAATGCCATGTTGTTTATATAATTTATATAATTGGGGTTGGGGTTGGGGTTAGGGTTAGGGTTAGGGTTAGAGCCATTGTCATATTTTTAATAAAAGCTCTACTCTCGTTAGTCTGTGGGAAGTGTAAATGCCGTTGTCAATCCTTGTTGCTCCTTTGTTTTATGCGAATGTCCTTTTTGTTTTTTTCTCTTGATTGTTATCGAATTTCCGGTTGTACGAATTTTGTACAAACCAGACGTGACACTTAGAAAATTAAAAATTAGCAATGTCTTAGCTTTCTAAAATAATGTAATTATTAACGTTCATTAAACCTTGTGAAATTTATAAAGGGGTATCTTCTGCTTCTGTTTCTGTGTCATTTTCGTCCTCTCCCAAAAAAGTCAATGTTTTAGAAGTGAGGTGGTCAGCGGCCCTTTTTATTTTCCTTGCTGAATCATCTGTGTTGTAGCGAAGGCGCTGAACTCGTGGTGAGTGGCTCATGTGTCTTGCAACTGAATTTCTTACTTTGTCCTCCTTCTCGTTGCACATTAGCCAGTTTACGAGCGCTTTTCGGAGAAAGTTGTAGTTGTGAACTTCAAGCCCCCATTGTGTCGCTTAAACGCCTTTTCGATGTAAACAGTAAACGACTCAGATGTGTCAAATGGTTGCCCTGTGCCCTTCATTAGAAGAAAATCATCTTACTCAACATAAGCTTCTCCCTCTCCTCCTCAACATATTTACGTAGATGTTGGTTGACATAATCGTAACTGGAGATGTCCACACTATTGCACCCGTATTTTTTCTCCGTTTTAAAATCATTTACAACCATTGTAGTGCTGCCATCTTCCTTAAATAAAATGTAGTTTTCTGAAACACTCCCCTGTTCCTCGTCAAATAGTATTTTTAGTTTCATCAAATCTGCATTCCTTGATGGGTTCACTGTGGTGAACAATAAAAGCATTACAAAATCATGGTATAACCTTGGCTTTTGATACCCATCCATCCCTTTCGACGAAATTATCCTGTCCCTCATAAATTTTAATGTTTCTAAAAACTTGTTTCCATTCTTTCATCGGCTTCAAAGTACCTTTGTCTTCGCTCTCTTTCATAGAGGCTCTAAAAAAACAGTGGTAAATTTAAACTAAAAATATCAAAAAGCGATGTGTAAAATGTATGTGTAAATAGAAAGGAACGCAGGTTATGCTGTCCGCTGATTAAAATAGAAATAATAGCCGGTAACTAAGCCACAGGACGGTGAAAATCCAATGTAGTCAGAAAGAAATTCAAAAAAAATTAAATATGCTAAATGATTCCACTTTGGCTGGCTTCATCAACCATTCTTGACAGTAGAATTTAGGCAGCCAGAGTTCAATGTTATGATATAGAATGAAATGCAGCTCAAGTTCCTATTGTAGAATTTCTAATGAAAAGCGAAAAAATATATAGCTAAGGTGAACTGGAATACTCACTTGCAATTGGGCCTGCATGTGCCTCAATTGTGTTATTTCCGCTATTTCTTGCCAACTTTTTGTTAGGCCCTCTTTTTTCAGAATATATTTTGCTGCTACTATGAGGCTTTGATTATGGTTTGCAACTGTACCCACGTTTAGCTCCCTCCTCAATTCTGCCACATATACGCTAACAAAGTTGATGTTTGTAGCATTCTCTGTTTGTGGGGGTCTGTTATATGTCTCTTTTACATGTTCAAAGAACTTCTTTAACTTTTTTGTATGGCGTTCGATTGTCCCTGCTGTCATACCGTTTGATGGTCTTAACGGGTTCATTTCATACGTGTAGAATTTCCAGAGCTTCTCGAAAAACACTTCAAATGAAGACACTCCATCCTGCATGCTTGAAGCTGCTTTGTAACTTGTACCCGCCTCCACATTGGCGACTGCTGCTTGTGGTAGTTGAAGCACACTCTGCTTCTGTAGCAGCAAATGAAGACTGTCTAATGGGATGACGTAATGCCTACCTTTACGTGGTCCAAATTTTTCTTCGAGCTTCAAGCGCAGGATCCCCTCAGGTTTCTTGCAATTTATCTTCAATCTGTGCATTCTGCTGCGGAGAGTCGAGCTTTGTAGATTTTTGTAGTTGTCTTCCAGCCTGTTTTTTCGATGTAAACAGATGCATGCAACCAGAATTTAGTTTTATGAAAGAGTTTCAGTATTATCAAACAAATTTCAATAAGGCTAGTTCCCGTTGAAACCAGATCGTTTAAACCAGATGATTTTTCTATCTGGTTACATCATGTAACCAATTGTCTTCCAGCTTGTTTTGTCGAAGTAACCAGATGCATGCAACCAGAATTTAGTTTGTGAAAGAGTGTCAATAATATTAAACGAGTTTCAATAAGGCTAATTCCCGTTGAAAGCAGATCGTTTAAACCAGATGGTTTTTCTATCTGGTTACATCATGTAACCAGTTGTCTTTCAGCCTTATTTGTCGATGTAACCAGATGCATGCAACCAGAATTTAGTTTTATGAAAGAGTGTCAATAATATTAAACGGGTTGCTATAAGGCTAGTTCCCGTTGAAAGCAGACCGTTTCAACCAGATGGTTTTTCTATCTGGTTACATCATGTAACCAGTTGTTCTCAAGCCTGTTTTGTCGATGTAACCAGATGCATGCAACCAGAATTGAGTTTTATGAAAGAGTTTCAATATTATGAAACGAGTTTCAATAAGGCTAGTCCCCGTTGAAACCAGATAGTTTAAACCAGATGATTTTTTTATCTGGTTACATCATGTAAGCAGTTGTCATCCAGCTTGTTTTGTCGAAGTAACCAGATGCATGCAACCAGAATTTAGTTTGTGAAAGAGTGTCAATAATACTAAACGAGTTTCAATAAGGCTAATTCCCGTTGAAAGCAGATCGTTTAAACCAGACGGTTTTTCTATCTGGTTACATCAAGTAACCAGTTTTCTTCCAGCCGGTTTTTTCGATGTAACCAGATGCATGCAACCAGAATTTAGTTTTATGAAAGAGTTTCAGTATTATCAAACAAGTTTCAATAAGGCTAGTTCCCGTTGAAACCAGATCGTTTAAACCAGATGATTTTTCTATCTGGTTACATCATGTAACCAATTGTTTTCCAGCTTGTTTTGTCGAAGTAACCAGATGCATGCAACCAGAATTTAGTTTTATGAAAGAGTGTCAATAATATTAAACGAGTTTCAATAAGGCTTATTCCCTTTGAAAGCAGATCGTTTTAACCAGATGGTTTTTCTATCTGGTTACATCATGTAACCAGTTGTCTTCAAGCCTGTTTTGTCAATGTAACCAGATGCATGCCAGCAGAATTGATATTTATGAAAGAGTGTCAATAATATTAAACGAGTTTCAATATTGCTAGTTCCCGTTGAAAGCAGATCGTTTAAACCAGACGGTTTTTCTATCTGGTTACATCAAGTAACCAGTTTTCTTCCAGCCGGTTTTTTTCGATGTAACCAGATGCATGCCAGCAAAATTTAGTTTTATGAAAGAGTTTCAGTATTATCAAACAAGTTTCAATAAGGCTAGTTCCCGTTGAAACCAGATCGTTTAAACCAGATGATTTTTCTATCTGGTTACATCATGTAACCAATTGTCTTCCAGCTTGTTTTGTCGAAGTAACCAGATGCATGCAACCAGAATTTAGTTTTATGAAAGAGTGTCAATAATATTAAACGAGTTTCAATAAGGCTTATTCCCTTTGAAAGCAGATCGTTTAAACCAGATGGTTTTTCTATCTGGTTACATCATGTAACCAGTTGTCTTCAAGTCTGTTTTGTCGATGTAACCAGATGCATGCCACCAGAATTGATATTTATGAAAGAGTGTCAATAATATTAAACGAGTTTCAATAACGCTAGTTCCCGTTGAAAGCAGATCGTTTAAACCAGACGGTTTTTCTATCTGGTTACATCAAGTAACCAGTTTTCTTCCAGCCAGTTTTTTCGATGTAACCAGATGCATGCAACCAGAATTTAGTTTTATGAAAGAGTTTCAGTATTATCAAACAAGTTTCAATAAGGCTAGTCCCCGTTGAAACCAGATAGTTTAAACCAGATGATTTTTTTATCTGGTTACATCATGTAACTAGTTGTCGTCCAGCTTGTTTTGTCGAAGTAACCAGATGCATGCAACCAGAATTTAGTTTGTGAAAGAGTGTCAATAGTATTAAACGACTTTCAATAAGGCTAATTCCCGTTGAAAGCAGATCGTTTAAACCAGATGGTTTTTCTATCTGGTTACATCATGTAACCAGTTTTCTTCCAGGAGGTTATTTCGATGTAACCAGATGCATGCAACCAGAATTGAGTTTTATGAAAGGCTAGTTCCCGTTGAAAGCAGATCGTTTAAACCAGATGGTTTTTCTATCTGGTTACATCATGTAACCAGTTGTCTTCCAGCCGGTTTTTTCGATGTAACCAGATGCATGCAACCACAATTTAGTTTTATGAAAGTGTTTCAGTATTATCAAACAAGTTTCAATGAGGCTAGTTCCCGTTGAAACAAGATCGTTTAAACCAGATGATTTGTCTATCTGGTTACATCATGTAACCAATTGTCTTCCAGCCGGTTTTTTCGATGTAACCAGATGCATGCAACCAGAATTTAGTTTTATGAAAGAGTTTCAGTATTATCAAACAAGTTTCAATAAGGCTAGTTCCCGTTGAAACCAGATCGTTTAAACTAGATGATTTTTCTATCTGGATACATCATGTAACCAATTGTCTTCCAGCTTGTTTTGTCGAAGTAACCAGATGCATGCAACCAGAATTTAGTTTTATGAAAGAGTGTCAATAATATTAAATGGGTTGCTATAAGGCTAGTTCCCGTTGAAAGCAGACCGTTTTAACCAGATGGTGTTGCTATCTGGTTACATCATGTAACCAGTTGTCTTCAAGCCTGTTTTGTCGATGTAACCAGATGCATGCAACCAGAATTGAGTTTTATGAAAGAGTTACAATAATATGAAACGATTTTCAATAAGGCTAGTTCCCGTTGAAACCAGACTGTTTAAACCAGATGACTTTTTAATCTGGTTACATCATGTAACCAATTGTCTTCCAGCTTGTTTTGTCGATGTAACCAGATGCATTCCACCAGAATTGATATTTATGAAAGAGTGTCAATAATATTAAACGAGTTTCAATAAGGCTAATTCCCGTTGAAAGCAGATCGTTTAAACCAGATGGTTTTTCTATCTTGTTACATCATGTAACCAGTTTTCTTCCAGGGGGTTATTTCGATGTAACCAGATGCATGCAACCAGAATTGAGTTTTATGAAAGAGTGTCAATAATATTAAACGAGTTTCAATAAGGCTAGTTTCCGTTGAAAGCAGATCGTTTAAACCAGATGATTTTTTTATCTGGTTACATCATGTAACCAGTTGTCTTCCAGCTTGTTTTGTCGATGAAACCAGATGCATCCAACCAGAATTGAGTTTTATGAAGGAGTGTCAATAATATTAAACGAGTTTCAATAAGGCTAGTTCCTGTTGAAAGCAGATCGTTTAAACCAGATGCTTTTTCTATCTGGTTACATCATGTAACCAGTTGTCATCCAGCCGGTTTTTTCGATGTAACTAGATGCATGCAACCAGAATTTAGTTTTATGAAAGGCTAGTTCCCGTTGAAAGCAGATCGTTTAAACCAGATGGCTTTTCGATCTGGTTACATCATGTAACCAGTTGTCTTCCAGCCGGTTTTTTCGATGTAACCAGATGCATGCAACCAGAATTTAGTTTTATGAAAGACTTTCAGTATTATTAGACAAGTTTCAATAAGGCTAGTTCCCGTTGAAACCAGATCGTTTAAACTAGTTGGTTTTTCTATCTGGTTACATCATGTAACCAGTTTTCTTCCAGGCGGTTATTTCGATGTAACCAGATGCATGCAACCAGAATTGATATTTATGAAAGAGTTTCAATAACATAAAAAGAGTTTCAATAAGGCTAGTTCCCGTTGAAAGCAGATTGTTTAAACCAGTTGAATTTTCTATCTGGTAACATCATGTAACCAATTGTCTTCCAGCTTGTTTTGTCGAAGTAACCATATGCATGCAACCAGAATTTAGTTTTATGAAAGAGTGTCAATAATATTAAATGGGTTGCTATAAGGCTAGTTCCCGTTGAAAGCAGACCGTTTTAACCAGATGGTTTTTCTATCTGGTTACATCATGTAACCAGTTTTCTTCCAGGCGGTTATTTCGATGTAACCAGATGCAT